CCCCAGGATTAACACAGGTTTCTCCACTGGTCTTCCCTGCCTACTTGTGATGCTCATCACTAGTAGAGTGGCTCAGCTGGCGACATGAAGCAAAGAAGACAACAATTGACAGTGGAGGGGTAGTCGTGCGAGGAGCCAGCAGGGAAGCGGCAGGGCCAGAGAACCATCGCCATGCTAGTTGACAGCCAACAGCAGAGGTGGCATCTGGTTGCCAGTGAGCAGCCAGGCCCGGGGCTGCCCGGGCTGCAGCAGCAGTGCGGGGCAGGCCAAGCAGAGGCAGCGGGGCCTCCGGGGCAGCTGTAAGGGAAGGTGGCAGCAGCCAGAGAGAGGATCAGTGGCTAGAGAGACACCTCCAGCCACAGGTCCTGGCCTGGCAGCTAACTAAAAGTAGTAACACTTCACGCTGTGGCTTCACTGCCCTGTGCCCAGGCCCCTGTGCCAAAACCCTAACACTGCAAACTCCTTGGGCCAAGGCAGCTGCCTGCCGTCGCCACTGCTACTGCTCGCAAACCCCCATCCAGGATCCAGCTTCCCCTCTCCTACCCCCATTCCCACATGGGTAGAGCAGGACCCAGCCAGCCGCCTGTGACAGAGACAGAGGAGAGGACTGGGAAAGTGGGGGGTACATCTGGGGAAGTTATCTGAAACAGTCTCAAAAGTGAATGGAAAACACTATGTCGATCATTTAAGAGACTCATTCTGTGGCTCAAGTAGTAGAGTGCTAGCCTTGAGCAAAAGAGGGACAGCACCAAGGCCCAAAGTTCAGCCCCAGGACCAGCATACATACGCACACACGCACACATACACTCACACAATATATAGTGTAAGACAGAATATTCACTTTTGGAGATGTACGCCTATAAAAATACTCTTCAGCTCATCTAGCTACTTTGACTCCCATTTACCAATATATCAGAAGTAATTTTTTTTGGTCAGTTGTGGGGCAGAAGTATTTTCTTTATATCTTGTAATTTTATGTTGTATAAGTGTACTGAAATGTTCTCAAACAATCCTCCTTTGTTGAACATTTAGATCAAAATGAATTTTGTGTTAATATTAGTGTGGTGTGGGGGCTGGGAAGGTGGCTCAGTGGTAGAGCGCTTGCCTTGCATGCCTGAGGCCCTGGGTTCAATTCCTCAGCACCACATAAGCAAAAGAAAAAAGCCGGAAGTGGGGCTATGGCTCAAGTGGTAGAGCGCTAGCCTTGAGCTGAAGAGCTGAGGGACAGCGCCCAGGCCCAGAGTTCAGGCCCCACGACCGGTCCCCCCCAAAAAAAATATTACTGTGGTGTGAAGAATGTCCTTGGTTGCATTTTGTATGTGTTTATTGGGATTCATTTTGACAATTGTTGTGCTAAGATTTTGCTTTGTTGACCTATTTTGATCATCTTTGCCTTTGGTAAAATATATTGCTGACAGTGTGGTGTCAAACTGACATATATCCTCATTTATAAATTGTATTCAAGAGTAAAGTAAATTTTCCAAGTGAAGAAAAGTCTGGAAGGTGAGAAAAGGAATGTCTAAAAGCTAGGTCAGATGAATCAATCCCATCAAATGAAGCAAAGAATTCAGTTAATACAAACGTGTTCCCAGAACATGCAGAATTACTTGATTCATCTGCTATGGTGAATCCCCTAGCTCCCAAACCAGGAACTAAATAAAATAGTTCAACTTAACAAACAGCCTAGTTTAGAAATTCACACATCCTGGAGGATCTAAATTATACAACTGGTGTGTGTGTGTGTGTGTGTGTGTGTGTGTGTGTGTGTGTGTGTGTGTGTGTGTGTGTGTGTGTGTGTGTGTGTGTGTGTGTGTGTGTGTGTGTGTGTGTGTGTGTGTGTGTGTGTGTGTGTGTGTGTGTGTGTGTGTGCTGGTCCTAGGGCTTGTACTAAAGGCCTGGGCACTGTCCCTGAGCTCCTTTTGCTCAAGGCTAGTGCTCTAGCACTTGAGCCACAGTGCCACTTCTAGCTTTTTTGGTAGTTTAGTGGAGATAAGAGTCTCACAGACTTTCCTGTCCAGGCTGGCTTCAAACCATGATCCTCAGATCTCAGTCTTCTGAGTAGCTAGGATTACAGGCATGAGCCACAGGCAATTGGCTACAACTGTTATTTTTGATGAGTTTAATCAAATTCAGGAGGTATTCAATAGTTGTATTTATTTATTTATGCCAGTCTTGGGATTTGAACTCAGGGCCTGGGTGTTGTCCCTGAGCCTCTTTGTACTCAAGGTTAGTGCTCTACTACTTGAAACACAGCACCACTTCCAGCTCTTTCTGAGTGGTTTATTGGTGATAAGAGAGTCTGACTTTTCTGCCTCGGCTGGCTTCATACCGCTATTCTCAGATCTCAGCTTCCTGAATAGCTAGGATTACAGGTGTGAGCCACCAGGCACCCAGCGTTAATAGTTTTAGAAACCCAAGAAGTGATTGAAATATCTACCCGTGTCAACTTGATTTCTAGATAAAGAAGCAAATCCTTGAATCTGAGAACTAGTAAATTTATATTATCTGACAGAAATCTAATTCCTTCAGCTAGGCCCCACCTCATTCCCAAAGCTATAGCAATGAAAGCCTATGGTTCTGACATCAAAAATTGACACATATATCAAGGAACAGATAGAGATCCTAGAAATAATCCATAGGCAATTTTTTGGCAGAGGCTCCAAAAACACATATTGGAGAAAGTGCAATTTCTTCAGTAGATAGGGTTAGGATAACTTAATATCTACCTGCAGAAGAATGAAATTAGTCACTCATACCATCAACAAAAATTAGCCCAAAGTAAGTTAAAGATGAAAACATAAAACCTTCAATTATAAAACTAGTAGAGAAAACATAGGGAAAACTCTGTGATATGGGTCTGAGCATTTGGTTTGGGGATATGAACCTAAAAGCACAGCATCAAGAGCAAAAATACAGTGCCAGATACTTGTGGCTCACTCTTGTAATCCTAGCTACTCAGGAGGCTGAGATCTGAGCATTACAGTTCAAAGCCAGCCTGGGCAGGAAAGTCTGTGAGACTCATCTCCAGTTAATCACCACAAAACTGGAAATGGACCTGTGGCTCAAGTGGTAGAGTGCTAGTCTTGAGCAAAAAAGCTTAGGTCCAGTGCCCAGGCCCTGAGTTCAAGCTCCAGGACTGGCACCAAAAATGATAAATGGGATAATGGCACCAAAAATGATAAATGGGATATTGATCTAGAGAGCTTCTTAACATCAAAGGAAATGACCAACAATTTGAAACTATTTTATAAACCATATGTCTGATAAGGGGTTAATATATAAGGAGATGAATTCAATAGGAAGCAATCAAGCCAATTAAAAATGGGCAAAGGAACGGGAGAGACCTTCTCAGAAAAAAATCAGCAAATGGCCAATACACATATGCCATAATGAGATATTACCTCAGAGTTGGCAGGATGGCTGTTATCCAAAAGACAAAAGACATTTTGCTAAATGAAATAAGCCAGGCATGGAATGACAGAGAGCACATGATCTCACATGTACCTGCAGTCTAAAGTGGTAGAAGTCATAGAACTGTTAAAGAGGAGACTTTCAGGGAACCTGAAAGGCCGCCAGTCATCGTCCTCTGGGGAGAAGGCAGGAAGAAAAGGTTCCTGAACTGAAAGGATGCTGCGGATAACGACTCAACCCAGAATGCTTTGTTTTCAGTTCTACAGTGTGGCTGGCCTTTTCTTGTTTCATTTGCTTTACCCAAGACACTGCTGATGCCGAGTTGAAGAAAACAGGGTTGCTTGGTTTTCCAGACTGGAGAGTTGAGCATCCTGCCTAAGTTTAGCCACTTCCCTAGGACAAACCCCAGAAACAGAATTCTAGAGGCAAGCCCTGGAGGTGCACGCTCCCAAAAGGCTCCCAAAAGCCCAGCACAAGCTTTCTCTGGGGTGGGCCCTCCCCGTAAATAGTTCACAGGGATGACTTGTTTCGGGAATGTATTTTTGTTTGTGTGCGGTGATGGCTGTTACGATTCTAGTAGAGTAGCCACACGGCTGTCCGAGCCATACAGCCCAGCGCGCCCGCTCACCGCCTTTGATGAAGGGAATGAAGAGCTTTGCCTGCTTAACCTGCGCTTAATGGGACCTCTTGCAAATGTGCAGTACAGAAAAACCTTAGCATACAGCCGCCAGTCCTCTTTAGGGGGTCCTTTCAGACGCTTTTGACTAGCTCCTTGCCTTGCCTTGCCCAGCTCTTTGGCCCCACGGGCCTTCTCATAGGATCCGCTTAGGAACGGGCTCTCCGGCCGTGGTGAGGGCTGCGGGCCTCCTGCCCACTGTCCCTCAGCCCTAGCCTCGGTCGCTGCAGGCTCATCCGGGGGTACTCAGGCCAAGGAAGGTAAATCTTTTTCCCTGTTCAAGGAGTCCCTCTGGCTGAAAGCAGACGATTACTACCGTCGTAGTGATGGAAGTGTTAAGTTTGTGCTGAAAATCCATTGTCCTTTGGTGCAAATGACATTTGTTCTTTCTCTGAAAGAGAGATGCCCTCACCTGGGTCTGCACACAGACCCTTAGGACAGACAGAGAGTAGCAGCGCCCTCAGCTGTCTCCAGTGCGGGGGTGGTGCAGGGGCAATGCAGGCAGGTGGGCTCTTGCTCGTCGTTCTGTCCGCTGCTCTACAGGCCCTTTCCCTCGCACTTCACTCTAACCTGAGAGGCTGCTTTGCTGTCATGTATTGAAGCGTGCTCTGGAAGTTGACATTGCTCTGGGGCTGTGCGGGTGCGCACGTGCATTTGGAGCATGCTCACAGCCCCATCTGCAGGGCCACGCTTCACTGGCCTACACATCTGCAGCTTTCATCTGGAAAAGGAAATAAAGCCTCCTAATGTAGGTTTTAAAACAACAGCTGCTAAAAGTGGTAGGGAGGACAACTCAGGAAGAGCTGAGTGGCTGGCGAGGGCGTCGGCCTTGACTCTTGCCTGTGGGCCACACAGCCGTCTGTGGGGAGCTAGATGGTGTCACCCGGCCTTCACAAGAAGAAAGGTGAGGAAGAACATAAGCACCTTCTCTTTTGCAAGTGGCTAAGAAGAGTTTCTTCCGGGCAGATTAGCTTTTCTAGTAACATCTTTATTCTGGGGAGCCTTGTTTCTCCATGTTTTAGAGCATGCTGGGTTTGCTTTAAAACTGGTTGAAGTAGCCATCTCCCCCCCCCCCCCAGGGGAAAACTACCTTTTTGGTTTGGTTTGAAGGTTAAAAAGGGAAGGGAAAACTTTGTTCTTGGAATTATGGTCAGTGGATGAAGCATTTGATTATTACACAGCAACGTCACTAATAAGTTTTAAGTGCAGTAGCTTCGTCATGGGAAAGATGTCTTGAAATGAATGGCTCATATTTGAGTGCAGTGTTGTATGTTCAAAACAAAATGTTACATTAATAAACAAAAACTAGGGGCTGGGAAGGTGGCTCAGTGGTAGAGCGCTTGCCTTGCATGCATGAGGCCCTGGGTTCGATTCCTCAGCACCACATAAGCAAAAAGAAAAAGCCGGAAGTGGCACTGTGGCTCAAGTGGTAGAGCGCTAGCCTTGAGCTGAAGAGCTGAGGGACAGCGCCCAGGCCCAGAGTTCAGGCCCCACGACTGGACCCCCCCCCCCAAAATAAATAAACATAAACTATGTAAAAAATAGAACTCATAGAAATAGAGTGAAATAGTCAAACAGTCAAAGGCTACAAAATTTCAATTAGGAAAAGTAAGTTAGAGAGCTTTCTTATATGACAAAAATGACTAGTCCCTAGCATTTGGGTGGGGGTGCCGGTCCTGGGCTTGAACTCAGGGCCTATGTGCTGTCCCGGAGTTTTAGTTTGTTTCTTTTTACTCAAGGTTAGCACTCTACCATTTGAGCCATAGCTCCACTTCTGGCTTTTAAGGGGGTAGTTTATTGGAGATGAGTCTCACATATTTTCCTGCCCAGGCTGGCTTCTCAGCCTCCTAAATAGCTAGGAATACAAGCATAAACCACCACCAGTTGCTAGCAATTATTTTTGAAAATTGCCAGGGAGTAGATTTTAAGTGCTCTTGCCACAAAACATGATAAATAAGTATGCAAAATGGTGCTTATAACTAACTTGATTAAGTCATTCTGCTGGTATATATGCTTCAAAACATCCTCGTGTAAGCCAGGCACTGGTGGCTCACGCCTGTAATCCTAGCTACTCAGGAGGCTGAGCTCTGAGGATCAAGGTTTGAAGCCAGCCGGGGCAGGAAAGTCCATGAGACTCTTATCTCTAATTAACCACAAGAAAATGGAAAGTGGTACTGTGGCTCAAAGTAGAAGAAAACTAGCCTTGAGCACAAAAACTCAAGGACAGCCTCGAGGCCCTGAGTTCAAGCCTTATGACCAATTAAAAAGAACCTCAAAAACCCATCACATTGTACATAGTGGCTATAAAATATTTGTGTCAATTTAAATAAAAAACAAGAAAAAGCCATGGCTTGGAAATAAATATACTAACACAGAACTTTGATTCCAATTAGACATTTCTACTGTTAACTCCTGGGCAGAAAATTTTTTCTTTTTGACATACACATTCCTATTTTAATGGAAATGGGATCCCACAATCACACAAATTACTATGCACCTCATGGTATATATTCCACACATACAGAAAGAGGATATTTTTCTATTAGTTTGTGTGTATTAATAATTGAGTGTAATGCCAGTATGCTGGGTTCACAGTATGCTTGGGATTGAACTGACTGTGCTTGAATTCTGGCTCTGTCACTTCAAACATAGGCAAGGTAAAAAAAAAAAAAAATGTAAAGACATTTTATTTCAAGGCTTACAGGGCATTTTGTTGTTGTTGGTCTGGTCCTGGGGCTTGAACTCAGGGCCTGAGCACTGTTTCTTAGCCTTTTCTTATTTTTATTTTTATTTTTTTAGGGGGGGGGTCCGGTCGTGGGGCCTGAACTCTGGGCTGGGCGCTGTCCCTCAGCTCTCCAGCTCAAGTCTTAGCCTTTTCTTTCAAGGGTAGCACTCTACCATTTGAGCCATAGCTCCACTCCTGCCTTTTTTGTAGTTAATTGGAGATGAAAATCTTACCGACTTTCCTGCCTGTGCTGGCTTTGAACTACAATCCTCAGATCTCAGCTCCAGAGTAGGATTAAGCCATGAGCCACTGGTGCCTAGCAGGCTCCACATTTTTAACCAAGCACAGCACCCTACTTTCCATGTCCTTCTTCTGACGAAACTATGTGTCTTAGTAACAATGAGGGCAAATGGAAACCTAGAATTTGCATCCGATTTTGCCAACCCACCTTTAAGCATGAATCTAACCCTCTGTCAAACAACCAGAATGCATGTGCTTCCTGAAGCCAGCTACTTGCCAACCAGGCTGCGAGTGTTCAGCCCTCATTAATGTAGTCACACAGCTACCATTAATGTAGACCACAGAAATGCCTCTCCTGTAAGGCAAACCAGGAGGACCTGCAGCTTAGCATATTACTCAGGCACAGGGAGTTCTCATGGCTTGTGACAGGCATTTATACAATTTTATTTTCATGAGGAAACACTGGGAAATGAAGTACTTGGTTGGGTATTAGAACCATTGATCAAGTGTTTTCCAAATCAATATTTAAAATTAGTTTTAATTCTTTTATCATTGTCTTTTGGTATCAGATTCCAACTTTTCTTTTCTTTTTTTGGTGGGGGCGGGGAATCAGTCCTGGGGCTTGAACTCAGGAGGGCCTGGGCACTGGTCCCTGAGCTCTTTTGCCCATGGCTAGAGCTCTACCACTTTCAGCCTCAGCGCCACTTCCAGTTTTCTAGTGGTTGATTGGAGATAAGAGTCTCATGGACTTTCCTGCCCAAGCTGGGTTTGAACTGAGATCCTCAGATCTCAACCCCTTGAGTAGCTAGGATTGCTGGCACTAGCCACCGGCACCCACCTGGGTTCCATCTTTTCAAAACCTATCATCATAGGAAACCTCTAATTACCCATACACCTTCCATTAAAACAGGAGATTGTGATCTTCTTGAGTTAAAAAAGACAGACTCTTAGCATCCAGCAATTGTGCCCTTTGACATTATTCTACTAAAGGAAGTGAACAAAATGCATGTTCACATAAAACTGTCCATGGATGTTTATAACATGCATTTGCAGTAGGTGACTGGATAATTAAGCTGTGGTCCGTTCAGACAATGAAATGCTATTTTGCTCACACCTGTAATCCTAGCTACTCAGGAGGCTGAGATCTGAGGATCACGGTTCAAAGCCAGCTTGGGTAGGAAAGTCTGTGACACTCTTATCTCCAATTAACCACCAGAAAACCAGATGTGGTGCTGTGGCTCAAGTGGTAGAGTGCTCTCCTTGAGCCAAAGAGCGCAGGGACAGCGCCCAGGCCGAGTTCAAGCCCCACGACCGACAAAAAAAAAAAAAAAAAAAAAAAAAAAACAAGAAATGGAAACAAGAGGTATTTTATTGTACTGTTTGCATTTTTCTCTCTTTTTTCTTTTGTTTTTCCCCCTTTTGTTGCTGTTTTTTATTTCTGTACCCTTTGTCTTGTATATAAGTTTATCTGATTTGGGGAGGGGAAGAGGAAGAACGGAAATGGTGGGACAAAGGGTGAACTAATTTAGCAGTGATGCTCACTACACACTATGTTGGAAACCAACTATACAACTTGGAGGGGAGGGAGGTCTGGAAGGGAAAAACTGGGAGAAAATGGGGAGGAGGTGACACGATTCAAAAAGAAATGTACTCATGACCAGACATGCAACTGTACACCCTCTGTACATCACTTTTACAGTAAAAATCATAAAATAAAAGAAGGTAAACTGAAACAAACTTAAAAAGAAAAATAAATGAGCAACTGAGCCATGGAAACACATAGAGGAACCTTAAATGCATTCACTTAGTGTAAAAATATGTAGTGAAAATGCTACAGATCCTAGCTGCTTAGGAGGCTGAGGTCCAAGGACCGCAGTAAGAAGCCAGGCCAGTCAAAAGAGTCCCCATGGGACTCTTATCTCCAATTAAGTGCTCAAAAACTGGAAGTGGCACTGTGGCTCAAAGTGGTGGAGCGTCAGCCTTGAGCAAAAGAGAGCACTGAGGCCCTAAGTTCAAGCCCCACAACCAAAATAAATAAATAAAAAACCACAAAAGATAATTCCAACTATGTGGCATTCAGAAAGTCAGAAAAAAAGATCCGTGTAAGAGGAAGGGGAAGATGAATAGTTTGAGCACAGAGGACTTATAGGTCTATATGAAACCATAATGTGTGAATCTGTCCAAATCTATAGGATGAACAACAGCAGGAGAAAGCCCTAATGTAAGCTATGGATGGATTTTTTTCCAGTCCTGGGGCTTGAACTCTGGGCCTAGGTTCTTTTTTTTCCATTTTTTTTTTATTGTGAAAATACCGTACAGAGGGGTTACAATTACATGAGCAAGGTAATGAGTACATTTCTTTTTTTTGGGGGGGGGGGGAGAGGGGTTGGTCGTGGGGCCTGAACTCGGCCTGGGCGCTGTCCCTCAGCTCTTCAGCTCAAGGCTAGCACTCTACCACTTGAGCCACAGCGCCACTTCTGGCTTTTTTCTTTTTTCTTATGTGGTGCTGAGGAATCAAAACCAGGGCCTCATGCATGCAAGGCAAGCACTCTACCACGGAGCCACCTTCCCAGCCCCATGAGTACACTTCTTATCCAGAATTGTTGCCTCCTCCTTTGTTTCCCCTTACCTCCCCTGCCCATCTCCACCCGCCACCCCATCCCCACCCGCCTCCCCCTCCCCACACCAAAGTTGTAAAGCTCGTTTTTCAACATAACGTCTTGTTGCAATGGGTCCACCTGTATCCCTACTTAAACAATTTGTTTTTTCCCTTTCCCTCCACAAATTATACCAACATCAAATACAGTGAAAGCAGGGGTTATATCGCGAGGGAGGGACATACAAAGCAACAAAGAAATCATCTTATTAATATGTTAGAAACAATAGCAAGAAAGAAAAACCATTTGAGTCCTTATCTTGGGGTTCATTTTGCCTAACATCAACTTATCTGACTGTTTCTGCTTGTCTCAGATATATACTAGTTATTGCAAATAAGGGAAACCATGAGACCCAAGTTTCTTTGGGCCTGGCTTACTTTACTTAATATAATTTATTCCAAGTGTTTGCATTTCCTCACAAATGGGGTGATGTCATTCTTTCTGATGGAGGCATAGCATTCCATTGTGTATATATGCCATATTTTCTTGATCCAAGAGCTGGGGGAAGTTATGTTAAGTGAAGTCAGACCCAGAGAGACAAAGGACGTGTGTCACCCCTCTACGTAGAAGCTAGACTTAGCTTACAAACTGGGGGCAAGTGTATACAAATGCATTCACTGAAATATGGTAGATTCAGGGAGATCTCCAATAGTGCAGTTCCTTACAAAGGCAAAGTCCAAGTTCGGCAAAGTAGAACACTAGGAAGTGGGTATTCAAAAGGGCTGGGATGGGGCCAAGGGGGTGAATGAAGAGAAGAAGAGCAGAGCGTACAGTTAAGAATCCAATGCATAAACTACAAAATTAAGGCGTGAGGTTCGGGGCTGGGAGGGGAGGGATGGCTGAGAAGGTCGAAAGGAGGGGCATTGATCACGACGCATCGTGTTCATAAACTGCTTTGTTAACGGCAATTCCTTTGCACAACTATTGAAAGATCTTGACATGCACCTGTTTTTCTAAGCAGTTAGTGATCACACTCAATAATGATTAATTATTCCATCTCATCTCAATTAGATTGGCCAACATTGCGAATTGGAACAACAGCAAATGTTGGCAGGGATGTGGGTAAAAGGAACCCTTGCTGCACTGTTGGTGGGAATGTAAACTAGTGCAACCTCTCTGGATAGCAGTTTGAAGGTTCTTCAAACAACTAAACAAATTTTCTCTATGATCAGCCATACCTTTCCTAGGCATCTACTCAGAACATCACAAGATACGCATGTACATTCATGTTCATTCTGCACTATTCACAATAGTCAAGTTATGGGAACAGCACAGATGCCTAACAATGGATAAGTGGATCCAAAAAACTGTACACAATGTGCCTGCACACAATGGAATTTTACACAGCCACTAGAAAGAATAACATAATGTCATTTGCAGGGAAATGGACAGACCCAGAACAAATCATGTTAAGTGAGGTAAGCCAAGCTCAGGGAGACCAACGGTGCATGTTCTCGCTCATATGTGAAAGCTAGACGTAAACTACATGATAAGTGATACAGGACTCTATGCATTCACACACAGGGAGAGCCCAGGAAGATACTCGTAGGGGAGGAACACAAGGCACAATGCCCATGCGCCTCTGATCATCTAAAACAGTATTTACTGGAATGAACTCCAGGAAATGGAAACGAGCTGTTTTTCTTTGTTGTTTTCGTTTCCTTTTTGTCTTGCTTGTTCATTTATCTGTCTCTGAGATAGTAAGGGGCACAGAAATGGGAGAAAGAGCGAACAAATGCAGCAGTGGTGCCTGCTGGACACGAGGTGGAAGATAAACTATACAACTTGTGGGTGGGGACGAGGGAAAAACTGGGAGAGAGCGAGGGAGAGGTGACATTATCCAAAAAGAAATGTGCGCCTTAGCTGACTTATGAAATGGTAACCCCTCTGTACGTCACTTTTATAATTACAATTAAAGTTTTAATAATAAAAAGAAATTCTTAGCAAAATAGTCCGTATGCGATGACATAGCAGAAACGAAAGTATAGAAGAAGAATTTTTACCTCCAAGCTAGCTGGTCTCACACTTGGTTCTGCTATAAAATTCATTAGATGAGGCAAATCTCGTCTTTCCATGTCTCACTCCTCTTACCTATGAAACGGAAAAAATAATACTAGATGTTCTCAAAAGTTCTGTGATGAAAATTCCAAACGGCATCCATGGGATAAAGGAGTCAGGGTTTCAGCGATGTGGATCAAGACTGAAGTAATTGAATGTGTTCATGTCCAACTATGAAAGAGTTTTATTATTGTTAATTTTTTATTTTTATGAAGGACTTTTTTTCAGTAGGGCGGGGTCTGGTGGCGTATCTCTGATTCACCAGCAGCACACCAGACGGGGAGCAGTGGCTCAAAGTGGTAGAGCGCTACCCCTAAGCAAACAAGCTCAGGACAGCCCAGGCCCTGAGTCCAGGCCCCACGACCACAAAAAATAAAAGCACAAGTAGGCTAGTAACACACAATATTTGCATTTGAGACAAAATAAAAGCACAAGTAGGCTAGTAACACACAATATTTGCATTTGAGACAAAATAAAAGCACAAGTAGGCTAGTAACACACAATATGCACTTGAGAAAAAGTAGCGAGTATGCAGCAGATGTTGTTGATATCACACTGCTCTCCCAGCTGCTGAGAGTGCCAGCTCTCAAAGTTCATACTCGACGTCTTGCTGCACCTTGCCCACTGCTGGGGGAAGCCAGAGGTGTGGAAAGTTACAAGTCTCCACTTTCTTGCCTCTCAAAGCATCCTGAGCAACGGCTGACACACGGGGTCTACCAGGGTACCTTGGTTGGTATACAGCATGCGCCAGGACGCCTGGTGGGATCAGACTGGGGCTACATCTCCCAGACGGGTTATCCAAGCTTCTTCTCCAATGACTACTTATTCCACTTTCCTATGAGCACTCTCTGAATGCATCGGCGCTATGAGAACCATCCCTAGGCGGAGGGAGAGCAGGTGCTAATGGAGATAGCAGGCTGCACGGCTCTCAAAGCCATGCACACACAACTCTGGTTTGGGTAGGAGTTGCTCCCCTCATGCCTTCATCAGCCACCCGCTAGGGATTATTACTGTGATTTCCCTAGGCTTGCGAGCAGCCACGCTCGGTCTCAGTTCATGCTGTCACTGGACCACACTGGGCCTGGCTGGAGCTGACAATGGCAGGGAATGGAGACTCCGTGTTCTTCCCAAGAAACATCTGGACAAGCTAGGGAAATTAGCCTATTTATCACATGAAATAAAACCAAAGTGAAATGTCAACCTGGAGCACAATTCATAGGTTTGAGGCTCTGCATGGGAAACAGTTTCCCTGTGCCCTGGGGACCAGGCTCTCCTTTCCTCCCGGTGGGGACACAGTCTCCTGTGAGCGCTCCCAAATATTCTCCAAGCCCTTTTCTATACTCCCGCGTAATGGCATAGAAGACAGAAGAAGATTCAGTCCAAAAAGGAGACAGACCTCAGTTCTCAAGGGGGCGGGGAGCCAGGTGATGAGGAGTGGAGGGAGAAGATGACAAACGCCCCACGCCAAAGGTAAAGACCAGGGCAGCAAGAGTATCAGAGCACAACGCATGCCCGAAAGTCAGCGAATTCTCAGGGGAGGTAAGAAAGCCAAGCTAAGCGAGCAGCTCGTCGGAGACATTAGCAGACGGCCAGAGAGCAGCAGCAAGTAGACAAAGACGCCCCTCTAGGGAGAATAGGAAGGCTGGGCTGGCAGAAGACAAAAGCCTTCTAGGATCATGTGTATTCAATAGCTTCCATCCTTTGGATAGAATTCTTTTTTTTCTTTTGGCAATGCTGGGCTGGAGCTCAGAACCTCATCCATGCCAGGCAAGCACTCCTCACTGAGCTACGACCCTGCCGTCATCTACTCAGGCTATACTAACATGATCAGGTCTCCAGTCAAAATGTCAAGAAAGAAAGGATAGCAGTTATTATTATATTTGTGGGTTGAAGGTTGAGTTTTGGGGAGTGTGTGTGTGTGTGTGTGTGTGTGTGTGTGTGTGTAACAGTACTGGAGCTTGAATTTAGGGCCTTATGTTTTTACTTGGCTTTTCTTCTGGCACTCTACCACTTGAGCCACAACTCCACTTTTGACTTTTTGCTGGCTAACGAGAGAGAAGTCTCATGGACTTTTCTGCTGAGCTGGCTTAGAACTGCAGCACTCAGAGCTCAGCCTCCTGAGTAGCTGGCACTCGGCTGTGAGTTGAGTTTTAAAACTCAGAATAGTACTGTATTATTTATGGGATATACTTTTCTATTTTAATACTAAGATAAAGGATAGAAAAAAATGCCCAATAATTTCAGGATAAAAACTCTTTTGGGAAAGGAAGACTAGGACTAAACTGGATAGAAAGACTTTTCCATTGTATATACAAAGTATTGTTTTGTAAAAAAAAAATCTGAAGCCAAGGGGGAAGAATTAAGATTCATCAAATTTGCATAGTGATGAATTGGGTGTGGGCAATCATATTATTTACTCTTTTTATACTTTGTATATGAGAAAACTTCTAATTTAAAGTTAGTTGAATGGGCTAAATAATCTAAATCACTGAAACAAGATATAATAGATCCACAAGATAAACATCATGTACCCTTTCAAAATCATCATATCAAAGAATTTAGGTAAAGCACTCAAAACATACTTGATTTGAAATGATAGGTTCAAAACAATAGTATTTGGGCATAGTGTGTGTGTGTGTGTGTGTGTATCCTGGGCCTTGAACTCAAGACCTAGGCACTGTCACTGACCTTTTGTGCTGAAGGCTACCCCTCTACCACTTAAACCACAGCTCCACTCTAAGCTTTTTGCTAGTTCATTGGAGATAAGAGTCCCATGGACTTTCTACAAGCCTCAGATCTCAAGCTCCTGTGTAGATAGGATTACAGGCATGAGCCACTGGCACCAGGCATTGTTTGTTTTTATGATATGTAGATGTGTAAATTCCTCTTTGAATCATATGTCTAAATATAAAGACAAATTTCAGGCTATCCTTGGCTACACCCAAGTATTGCCACCATAGATGACATGCATTTTTCTTCTCTATGCCAAGATACAATGAATAGAGTGCCATTTTATCAGAAAAAAAACAACCTAATGAATAACTTGCTTATGTAAGGATACTTAAAAATAAACTGAAAATTAGCAGTAACTCTATCGCAGAATATTTTCAAATTAGTTTTGTGATAACTATATTTAATGTGTTTGTCCTGCTACCCTGTGGGCAAATGTCAGAATTGTTTTTGCCAGTGCTGGGGCTTGAACTCAGGGCCTGGGCACTGTCCCTGAGCTTCTTTTGCTCAAGGCTAGCACTCTACCACTTGAGCCACAGCACTACTTCCACCTTTTTCTCTGTATGTGGTACTGAGGAATCGAACCCAGGGCTTCATGCATGCTAAGCAAACAATCCACCACACTCCCAGGCCATAATGTCAGAATGTTTTAAGGAGTGTATATTAATGGAAACATTTTAGTGGTCCTCTATTGAAGTGTTCTGCTCTGAAGAGAAATGGAAGGATGCTGTATTGCTGTTTAATAGGCGATACATGCAAACGTGTTGTTTTCTTTACACACACACACACACACACACACTGCGGCTTGAAACCGGTCTCTTACTTGCTGGCAAGCTCTCTACCTCTTGAGACATACCCTCAGCCCACTTGCATTTTCATTTTGTTTTGCAGGTAGGGGCTGTAACGTTGCCAAGCTAGTCCAAGACAGGAGCTCCCCTGTCTCCACCTCAGAAGTATGCAGTAACAGGCAGATACCACTAGGAAAGGCTTATTCTTTCCATAATCAGCCCCACGGGCCCACTGGCTTTTCCTCTATTTCCCCACAACGGCCACGTGCGTCCCCGCTGCCTCCTCCGCCTGGCCTCACGTTATCAACATCCACTGTCCCATGCCTTCCAGTTAAGCCACCGCCGCTTCTCCTTGAAATTTCCGCCACCTAGGACCAGCCTGGCTTCCTCCTTGGCCCTGCTGGCTCTTGTAGACCTGCAAGAGTTCCGCAATAAGGACCAATCCAACACCATGGCCCTCTAGCCTCCTGCCTGTCTTGGAGCCACCAAGACCCCCGGCCTCTCCACTGGAGGTGCTTTTCATCTGGAGGGCCTGTCGCTTTCTCTTACAGCCTAGTTTTGGTTCACATCCCAGTCACCATGTCCACCATCAGACAGCGACGCAGCTATTGCAGCTGGACCTTCACACCTGCCGTTTCCTGGAAATACTCCCTGCCACCCGGCTCCCACGGCCTTCCCTGGCTGAGCAGAGCCCTTCCTACCATGTGCTTTCCATGTCTCTCATCCCCAGAGCGCTTGCTGATCCCCAGAGGCTGGCGGGACCCCTAGCCGTCCGTTTCCCCACCGGGCGGCCATAGGGAAGAGAGTTCGGTTGCTGTCTCTAGCTTCTGTGTTCTCCCAGCGCAACAGGAGCGCCCGCGGGCAGCACACGGGGTCTTCAAGGGCCGTTTGTTTTTTGTTTTGTTCTGGTTTTTTTTTTTAATTAATAGGTCAAGATTTGTTTTTTGCTTCATTTCTTAAGTATAACAGTTTTCATAGCGTTTATAATGTATTACCTATTATAAGCAACCTAGAGGATGTTTTTAAAACACACGGGAGTGTGGTTATAAGTTAGAACCAATTCGTATCTCCTTTTATATAAGGGACTTGAGCATCCTCAGGCCTTGGTCCGATGCAGGCGCTGAGACCAGTCTTCCGTGGATATCAAGGGTCAACGGCGGTCTCTGAAATCTTCCTTTTCCTGCCTTTTCACGTTCGTTACCTTTCTTAGAAGGGCTGTGATTTTATCCCCAATTGTTCAACTTCAGCACTGAGCACATTCAGCAGCAGGTGAAGCCGTGCTGTGAGCACTGCCCTGGCAAACAGCTCCCCTGCTCTCTGCCAACCCGATGCCAGCCCTTTGCCCAGGACAACCCTAAGATCCCTTCAGCGCCTGCGTTGGCCTGGCTGAGCAACGGCTGCTTGAGACAAAAGACGGGGAGGCTGCTGTCACGGACGCCACTGCCCACTGTCTGCGCTGCCTTTGACTGCCTCAGATCAGAGAAAACACAGCGACAGAGCAGGAGAAGGCCTGGCCCTGCCGTTATGGCAAAGGCCCCCTCCTCTGCGGTTCCACATTCCTCACCACGGTTCTGAGAAGTCACACAGGGTGCCCTTGAGAGACAGGCAGGTGAGCAAAGGCCTGATTGGACTCTAGACATGTACGTCAAAGCAGCCACCCAATCAGAGGGGCAAAGCGTCACATATCGAGCTCGCGCAGGCTGTGTGGAGCTCTTGATTGGCTGTGGCGGTTGCACAGGCCGGGAGCTAGCTGATTATCCTGAGAGTCACGTTAACGTTCTCCTAGCAACACCTATTGATCCCCATAGAACTCGCCCCAGTCAGTAGCGCTCCGCTGATACCCTGTGTAGCAAAAGCCCCGTTTATTTTCTCATCACCGAAGCCTTACTGTTTTGCTCCTCCTGTTTTGTCTGCGTTTATTCCTCAACACTAACGAGACAAAGAAGCCGGTCTAAATGTTGCAGGGTTTCCCTTATTTGCAGGCTTTTAGTCTTAGCGCAACGTGAGAAGCGTATTGATCATGCATCCTCCTGTCTCTAACCAAAGCCAAATGAAGTCCCCAAAGCAGACCTGTGATACCTACCTTTCCTCCTCTGCCCCCATTTCTCTGTACACCCCCACCATTCTTCAGTTCTGATAGGCATCTAACTCTCCCTATACCACATTGAAACTATTTTTCAAGACCCCAAGTTATCCCCTTCTAGTCATTCTCTCATCCTCTAACACAGCAATGCGTCTCTCAGTACTCTTTGCCCCCCTCTCTGCCCCTTAGTGAGCCCAACTCCATGTGGGACACATCCCACACGAGAGGAGGTGGCATTTACTAAGCAGTTGCATAGCCTCACATTGTCACATGCATTGTCACATAGCATTCTGTCGCAACGGCAAAACACCATCTGATCATCAGTGAGGGCACTGACACTCAGATTTAGCAGTTTGCCAAGGGTCCCATAAAAAAAAAATAAGTGGCAGCCAGGTGCCGGTGGCTCACGCCTGTCATCCTAGCTACTCAGGAGTCTGAGATCTGACGATTGCAGTTCAAAGCCAGTGCTGGCAAGGAAAGTCCATGAGACTCTGATCTCCAATTAACCACCAGAAAACTGGAAGTACACTGTGGCTCAAGTGGTAGAGTGCTCACTTTGAGCTGAAGAGCTGAGGGACATTGCCCAGGCCCAGAGTTCAAGCCCACGACCAACCCCTCCCCCCCCCCCAAAAAAAGTGGCAGTGCCAAAATTTGAACCCAGCTCTGTCAACTCTCAGCCTGTGCAACCAACAACTGAGCAACATGCTGATGTGCTCACTTTGGGTACATTTGCTCAGGTTATGTGGTGTATATGTCCTAGTCCTAGTTTCTTGAGAAAGATGAAATGGTGTTGAAATTTGTCAAAGGCTTTTCCTGCATCTATTGAAATGATCATGTAGTTTGGTTCTTTGATCCTGTTTATTTGCATTATGCTTATTACATATGTTGAATATATATTATATATGTTGAACTATCATGCATCCTGGAATAAAATAACTTGATAACATCACATGCCCTTTTTAATGCATTGTTGAATTCAGTTTGCAAGCATTTTATGGAAAATTTTTGTGTCTATGTTTGTCAGAGAAATTGGTCTGGCATTTTCTTTCTGTTTTTGTTGTATCCTTACTTAGCTTTGGTATCAGGGTAATGTTGACTTCATAGAATGGGTTTGGCAACATTCTTTTCCTTTCTAGTTGATGGATTTTTTGTTGTTTTTGTTTTTATTTGTGGGGCTGTTTTTTGTTTTTGTTTTTTGGTCAGTTGTGGGTCTTGAACTCTGGGCCTGGGCACTGTCCCTGAGCTCTTCAGCTCAAGGCAAGTACTCTACCACTTGAGCCATGGCGCTATTTCTGGTTTTCTGGGGCTTCATTGGAGATAAGAGTCTCACAGACTTTCCTGCCCGGGCTGGCTTTGAACTGCGATCCTCAGATCTCAGCCTCCTGAGTAGCTAGGATGACAGGCATGAGCCACTGACACCCAGCTTAGTTGATGGATTTTGGAG